ATCCTAATAAATGCAAACAAATATCTAAACAGCCTGTACAAGAAACATTAGCCAGTGTAACAAACTGTCCTGGGTTCAGCAGTAGCTGACATTTTTCTCCTTAGGGAAGTAGCCTATCGCCAGCACTCATTATTATCATCGGCGGTAGCAGCAGTGGTTTTGTGTTATACCTGAGTTACCGGGCTGTTCTTATCTTGACCCGTGGGAGTTACAGTCTTTCCATTCTCCTCCCCATCCCTCTGGGAGCAGGGGGAGGAAGAAGCAGGGAAGTGAGCGAGCAGCTGCCTGGTTCTGAGTTACCGGCTTGGCTTAAAGCATGACAGTTCTTTTTGTTGCCCAATGCGGGGCATAAAGTGTTGAGATTACGATATATCTGACTGGAGTGTCTCTAATCGTATTTGTGATAAGCATTTATTTCTTCGGATTAACAGTCACTCGTTATAATGCTCATTTATTGGCTCTCAAAGTTGTTGCTGTTGATCTTACAATTTCAGCATTTCATACCTTACTTACAGCCAGTATTCGACCGATACCCAGCCCCCCCCGAATAGTGATCTAGCACTTCTGTGTAACTGCCCCCAGTTTCCATACCTGTAGCCGTGGGGAGGTGGTGAGCGGTTGTATTCTCTTCACTTGTTATTTCCCTTATCATTATTATTACTGGTGGCAGCAGCAGTGATTTGTGTTATACCTTAGTTACTAAACTGTTCTTATCTCAACCTGTGGGAGTTACATTCTTTCTATTCTCTTCCCCATCCTTCTGGGAGCGGGGCGAGGAAAGGTGGCGAGGAGTGAGCAAGCGGCTGCATAATTCTGAGTTACCGACTGGGTTTAAATCACGACAGTTCTTTATAGAGGTGTTTAGCAATTAGAAATATCTTTCTTCCCCTCCTTGGGTGGTCAACCTGTGAAGGAGACATTCCCTTAGCTTCCCAGCCCAGGGAAAGCCATCCGGAGGACAAATTGCTCCTTCTCCTGTTCTGTCTCCCCTGTGTCCCTATCCAGCAAGGATCCAACTGGGCATGACGTGCTGTGGCTTATCCTGCCTATCCTAGCAGCATATAGGGACACAGGAGAGGGAGGGCACAGGGTGCCCATCTGGGGCCAGGCTTTCATTTCAGCTCTGCATCACAGCATTTCAAGTGCATAGAGCAGAGCCCTCCTGCAGGGAAATGCCTGGTGGAGTATGTGATCAGCCATGCGCACACAGAGTAACCCGAGCAGTAGGGAGGGCCACTCAGATGTAAGATGGATGTAAAAGGTTTTAATTCCTTGCTACTTAGTTGGGATTATTTCCTCACTTGCCTCACAGCCTTTGGGTCCGAATCTCCAGTTGTGTCACATTTATTGATCAAAATTGCTCTGGGTCTAAGGCTACAGCACTCCCCAGTCACTGGAGTTGCATTAGTATCAAAAAGCCTTCCACCCCACAGCTTGCTGACATTAATTACACCAGTTAAGTAACAGGCAATTTCCATAACGAGCTTGTTGCATCCTTTATGTTTTTAAAGCTGTTGACAGGATTTCAGGGCCAGGATTACTCTGTAAGTGATTTTCTGCCTGAAGAGGTAATTCAAAGAGGTTGGGTTGTTTCTACCCATTTCACCACAAACAGTGCAGTGTCTGTGTCCATAGCTGGGTCTCCATCTTAAATGATCACATAAGCTTACAGCACAGACAGAAAAGACAGCAAACAGCAGTAACTTATGCCTTGTTGCTGGCCTCAGTATAATACACTTTATGATTTGTTCCTCTTCATGTTGCAATGCAGGACATTTTTGAAGTGAGGTAGTTCAATGAGCTGGTGGCTGCCAGACTTGGCCCTTCCTGAACTTTTATTACCAAAGCAAAAACTGAATGTAGTTTTCTATGCTGGGTACTGTGTCCCCCCGATTTGAAATGATCAGTCTAGGGTCCTCTGTTAAATATCAAAAGAAGCTGCTGTAAGAACATTTCTTTAGTGAGTGTCCAAGTTTTCAGACTTACTTACCCAGAAACAATTTTCACATGGGAAAGCCAACATTATCCCTGAAAAAGTACAATTCTGGGCTGTCTGTCTGTATGCCTGATAGCCCTGCCCATTCTTTTCACTACTGAATGTTCCTTTTAGAACCAATATTCCTAAATGTGAACTGATTTAAACTGGTTTAGTGTTGTTAAACTGTGCCAGCTCTCATGTATAAAAGAAGGGGCATGAGCTGGACAGCTGTCTCCACTGTTACACTAGTACTCGGCCTGTTTAAAGTAACTTTAAAGGAAGTTTTATGTTTGTCAGCATAGCACAGGTTATTCCAGTGCCACACATGTAAAGCAGGCTTGACTGGGTACGGGTTATGGGCGAAGCACTGTGATTGACCAGTGGTGGGTGAAAAAAGGTCACATCACCCACTTGTTTTGAGGGTGAAGCAAGGTCTTTACACAATAACTGCTTCGTTGGAAAACCACTTGTCTGAGACTGTGGACTGATGATGATGAAGCCTATGGCTCTGAGCACTGTAAGCAGTAGGAGCTCTCACTCCACCCCAAAAGGTAGCGGGAAGAAGTGGGAGGATGTACCCTCTATCACAGCTTTTCTCAGAGCTGTATTCACTGTACCCTGGGTTCATCCATGCCAAGGATGAAACTATCCCAGCAGTGCTGTGCATACACTTGAAACTCCTCTGAGAAAGCAAGCAGACCCTCAGCTACACTCCCATCTGGGGACTGATGTGTCTGCTCAGCAGCACCAAGGCAGCCTCTGGCACTGGGTCCCGGTATCGCAGGTACCTCCTGCACAATGTGGCTGCTGTCCTGCCAGGAAGACACGTCACTGACTGGGCCTGGTGCTGCGGGGAGAAATCAAAGCCAGGAACAGCTGTGTAGCTAGAAAGAGCTGCAGCACTTCTGAGCCCCACAGTACTGAAACGTTCATGTCAGACACACAGCAGGAGCAGAACTGCTGTGTAGCACTGGTAGAAGTATATTCAGGACCCATGTGGAAAGGAAGTGATCCAGGCAAAAAGAAGCAAGCTAGTAACCATAGTCAAATACGCTATTTTTACTACCGTTTCCTAGGGTTTTAAAATACTTGGGAAACAGGATCAATTGTAATAATACGGCATTTAAGTTGCAGCAGCTCTAGGAACTTGAATCCAGAGAGCTAGTTTGGTTCTGCCAATGATGCAAAACAAACTGCACAAGACTGTTCCTGAAGCATTCTTGTCACACAAGCTTTGCAGCAATGCCCAAGTATGTCACCACTTCATTTACACAGGGAAACAAGAACGCTTCAGTTCTCTAAACTTTCCAACACATCTGAAATGGTAACCTCTGCTTCTGGCATAAACTATGTAGCACCAAAGAGACAGCATGTAGATTGCAGTGTATATCTGATGATAAGATAGACTCACAGCCACTAGCAACATCAAGCTTAGGAGCTGAATGCTTGCATTTCAGGTTGTCTATTCGGATATGTCACTAAGTCGTGAAGTAACCTTAAAGTATCACAGTTAAGACAACATGTTTTCCATTGCTTTACTGGAACTGAAAAAGTAGTTTTGTACCAAAATGTACACAATTTAGGAATAATACAAAATGTTAATTCTGCAAGACAGAATGTCAGTTAAATCCACCAAACTGAACACTGAACCACCATTTATTGCCAGGACTGTGTTATTTTAAATAAGGTCACTGAATGAACATAGAAACAAAGTAGTTCCAACTTTTCTTAAAATGGTAGCTATTAGCAACAATACTGCAGGAAGATAAGCATTTGTGGTATTTGATATTTATATCCTATCGTAACACATCTAGCATGTAGTACGTTTTCATGCTTGCACATTCACTTTATGAGCTCATTACAATGGTATGAATCTGCTGATGTACTAGAAAACAACTAATAATGATTTATACCAAATTTGCACATTAGAAGAGCACCTCTGCTTGTCACCCCTGCAGGAATGCCACTGCATTCCAGCAAGAAACCCAGTCCAATCCACCAATCTGTCCCCCCAGAAGCAAACAAAAAAACCCAAACCAAATAAAAAACACCCCATTATCACGCATATTAAAAATTTCCTTCTTGTGATTAACTAGGCAGGGTGATATATTTAGCAATATTCCCAAAACTGAATCAAACCAGAATAAACTTGTGGTTTCTGTATTACATCAAGAACACCTGAGACTGCTTCACTGGTCCAAGTACAGTACTTTAATACAAAAACTGCTTGTTGCATTAACATAAAATTTCATTGAATTCCCTTAATTAGTACTCTTCATTGAAAAAAAGGGTAAGATTTCTTCTTAAAATAAATACTCCCCGCTCAAAAAGAAAGTTTAAAAGAAATTAAAATACAAAATCCCCTAACGTTAAGAGGACAGTGTGATTTTCTGGCTTCATTTCATCTCAGCTGAAACAGTGGATACGCAACTATTCCTGGGGAATAAGTGTCAAACACTTAAAGATAATAATTAGGAGCATACACACACACACTGTACCTTAAGAGACTTCCTTTAAAAGAAATGTAAACATCTGTTCGTGACTCCTGTTATCTGAATGCACCCCTATCAAAAGGAGTTTGAGAAACTGCATTTGCTTCAACACACACCCAACACTTAAGTTTCTGGAGTTACCAGTTTCAAAATCTATTTCTTCCGTCCACCCAAAATAACAAAACAGTTGGATACACTGTTTTTCTCTACTTCAGTACCAATTATATTTTAAAGTTCAGAACTTTATAAGTCACAAGTTTTCCATAGGGTAATCACCTAAACTGCGGATTTGAAACACTGAATTCTGCTTAGCTGAAGCAGCAGCAAATTCAGTAGTACGTATATGGGGGTTTCTATAAAAATACAACAATTCAATAAAAATTTATTGTAGCATAAACCTAAGTTTTACATGTGAACAAAACTGGGATTTCATGGGAAGTGATCACTTTAGAAACAATGCTTTTCTAACCAGAACGTAAGGATGGCAACAACCTGCACACCCAAGCCAAGTGTAGACCAAACTATACCCGTTAATGTACAATGTACATTATACCACTTTTCAGTAGTCACCAGGCACTCACAAATTAAAATAACCTCAGCCAGTAAAAACATAAGACTGCCCCTTTATAAAATGATGTGTAAGATCAAGAATTCCAAAGCCATGATCAAGACATCTGACAGGACTTCCTTTATGAAGTCTTCTCTAACCACTGAAGAAAGTCAAAGGCGTAAGTAGTGTCACCCAAGTCCGTTGATCTCTCACTTCATCTTACACAGACATTATTATGTTAAAGGTGATTTGCATTTTAAACTTCACAGATTTTGGTTGGTTTTTTATCCCCATACATCTGGTCAGCTGCTAGGGCAACTCTTCATTTCAAAGCTTTTTTAGTATTCAGGCTGCCTTCTTACTGCAGGCTCCTTGAAGATCTTGTAGATTTATTTTTGACCTAATAAAAAAATAAGGCAATTACATTAGATAGTTAAAATGCTCCACTGCTATTACACATTTCTATTATTCACTTAATTATTATTGAATCTTGTGTACTTGGAAGAAGGGCAAACCAGCAAAGACAAGAATTTTTCTGTTTCTTACCTGTTGTGGATCATGTGGCTCCTGACAAGGTGCCCAGCTGCAAGAGCTGCCATCAGTGATAACTCCCCTGCCATCACTGTGGCACAAACAATTTTAGCGAGCTGACGAGCGTTTTCACCAGGGTTATCTTGGCTTGCACCCTGAACACCTAACATCTGGGGAGAAAAATATGCAATATTATGCCATGAAATCTAAGTCAACTTAAGCTAAATTTAGTACTAAAGTCTTTGCAAATTATCTCATCAGCTAGCTTGAAATAACTTTAATACTAAATATCTTAAGCTTTAGAAGCTCAATACATGAAAACAGTTTATTAGATAATTCTAAAATTTTAATGTCAAATCCTCCAAGTTTCAAAATAATAATGTTTTCCCACAACATCACTCAGACACAATGTGAAACATGTGAGCAAGATTTGACTGAAATAGCTAAGTTGCTTTAAACTTTCCGATTTATACCTGCAAACAGGCTTGCTGTGGGAGCAAGTTGGTGCCTCCGCCAACAGTTCCTATTTCAATAGAAGGCATTGTGCAGCTGATGTACAGGTCTTCGTTGGTGGAACCAGTTCTCTCCATCAGAGTGATGCAATTAGAGCTGCCCACATTCTGTGCAGCGTCCTTCAGATCAGGAAGGAGATGTAAACCAAAATGAAAACACGCAGTTAACTAAGCATTTGGATAAGATTTACTATGAAAGAAAACCTAAGTTAATCAGAGTAAAATAAACCTACCTGACCACAGGCAATGTAGATAGCTGTTACAATGTTTGCTGCATGTGCATTGTAGCCACCTATGCTACCAGCCATTGCAGAACCCACCAAATTCTTGTTGATATTAACTTCAACTATATCATCTGTAGTTGTCTTCAATACCTAGACAAAGTGGTACATTTTTAGTCCACCATTCCTTAGGCAGGAGTAGAAATGCATTATTTACAATTAGTAAGCCCTTGCCCCTTGTTTACTTCAAAATGGAATTCAACTCAGTCCTTGTCCTAGATACCTGCTTCTATTTTTGCTCTCAAGGAGTTCTTTCAAATGCAGACTGCATTGTCCAAGTAACAATGGAAAGGGCAGTTCAAAGGGTTTGGACTTGCACAGGCCTTTAAAAGCTCACACACTCTAGGAATGCTGTGTGCACCTCTATACTCCGCACTTACAAATCACAGAACTGAAAAAGGTCTAGAGATAAGTATGTTCAGAGACACATTGGAACAGTTTTTTTACTCATTCTTCAACAGCAACAAGGAGGTAGTTCTTACACCAGATATAGCTGCACTGTGGAATAGTTTACGTAGTTTTGCAAAAAGGAACTGGACAAATTACTGGGGAAAACAAACAAAAAACCCATTAAATTTGAAACCACAAATTCAGAAAATCTTGAACAAGTTGATGGAATACTATTCTGAGTACAGTGCAGCAAATTCTTCCCTGGCTATTGTCCCTCTTGGCCAGTGCTGGCCACCAGGTAACGGGCAACCTATTTGGTCTGATGCACACAGCCAGTAATCTGAGCTCAAGTGGAAGTGAACCTAAGATAGTGCTTATGATGCAGGACAAGTTTGCCAGAGGCTAGAAATGGCACTGTTTTATAAAGATTACCCTTCGGCATGCAAGACACTAAGGCAGCTTTGGAATAATGTGAAGCACCTGATTATCTGTTTTCATTGTAGTAGAGACATATAAACCTTAACAAGAATGCCAGGTTTGTGTGGGAGACAGCAGTGAAATGATCAAAAACATGGGGTTTAATGGCAGGCAAAGCCCTCTGTATAAAGATCTGAAAAACTGGCAATTTTTTTTTCAAAAGTAAGAAGTTAAAATCCTAATGCATTCAACTTTATCATTATGTATATGTATGTTATATATATGCACCTTATGTCAGAATGGACAATGAAAGAAAAAACACTTATTGTCTCAGGAAAAATCAGCAGTACCTGAAAATACATGAGGAATCATTCGCACCTGGAAAACAACTTATAGTTAATATTTATGATCCAAGGCAGGTATCAGTTTTGTAAAACGAATACATTTTTATTAAACAAGTAAAAGAAAGCGAACACTTACTTCTCTAACAACCTTGGCTGGAATGACTGCTTCACAGACAACAGACTTCCCTCTTCCTTCTATCCAGTTTATAGCAGCAGGTTTTTTGTCCGTACAATAGTTACCACTAATAGCTATAACTTGGAGATCAGGAAACTCTTCATTCAACCTTACAAGTGCTTTTTCAGTACCCTGTTAAAAGAGAAACAGATAAAAGGCAACAATATCATTACAGTTGCAAAACAAGCTACTCAAGGACAGTGGGGCAGCAAAATCAGATTAAGTCTAATCAAAACATCAGTTACAGTTGGAGAAATGAACATAGTTTCAGGAAGGAACCTGGACCCAGAGAAGAAAAATCCAATTATCACTATATTTTTTTTTAACTACTTTGAGAATTATATAGGGAATAACTGTTTTTCCCTGTGCATATGGACTCTCTGGATGCATTCTAGGTGCACGGTCATGTGTTTACCATGCTGAAGATACAATATGAACTAAGACAAAGACTATGGGCATGAAACAAATGCATTTTGCATGTAGTGGAAAGAGCTTCTCTACACTAGAAAATCAGAGGGAAGGTCTGCTATATTTGGTCCCTGTGTGTGATCAGATTCATTTATTACATAATTGAAGTTCTGACAGACTTAAATTTAACATAGAATAGGCAAAGAGTATCAATCTCAAGCAGCACAAAGCATCCCAACAATCCATGGGTCATGTCTCAAGTTCTTCCACATTTGCATAAAAACAAAAAAAACCCCAAACCCTAGAGGACATCTCTCCACTGCCATTCACCAGATACCTAAACCTTTATTTACAAGGAAGTGATAAACACCACTTAGCAGCAACAGATTAATTACTGTGGGATACAATCTTTGCCCTAAAGCAACAGAGCAACCAGCTTCATTTATGAAGAATACTTTCTCTAAATAATAATAAAAACCCCATAAAATATGAAGTTACTTTTTCATCATTCTCATCCTATTCTTGTTTATACTTGACAAGGTTGAACACTTCTACTATTTTACAGCACTGGGAACACCGCTATGTCTTATCTTTCTGTCTTCACACGCCAAGTAGTCACAGATTGGTAAGCTACAACTTATTTATTCTTGAAAGGCACATTTACTAAAGAGACTTCAGGGGACTGGTCCTTACTTTTGAAATCATATTCATTCCCATTGCATCCCCTGTTCCAGACTGAAAACGGATATAAAGGTTACGACCAGCCAAACTGATGAGAAGTTTTTGTAGGCGGGCAAACCTGCAAGAAAATGAAGTATTACTTAACAGTCCTCAAGGGAAAAGATTAAATTAGTTTTAAGTGGAAAAAGTAATAGTAAATCATTGCGGATAGCACTGCTAACAACACTGTGTTCCTCCTCCCTCATAGGAGGAACAGGAAAAAGCCTTCAGCTACCATGCTCACAGTCCTCTCAAATAAATATTTTAAAAATATTCACTGCAAAAGTGTTTGCTTCCTTTTTATGTTTTCTATCCCTGAACCTCATGAAATAAAATATCCTCAAGTGCTGATGTAAAGTTATTTCACTTCCATTCCTTAAAGCATCTGACTACCAGGTATAAACTAAAAACGAGGCCTTAGGAAATTCTTACATCAGTTTTACAGCAAGGCAAAATGCATGCTATCTTCAACTACAGTACAAGCTCCACAGGTGAAACAAAAACTGGGAAATACTGCATTTATTAACAGCATGACTTGATTCTGGCCAAAATACGCATATGAACTTGGATGACACTTGTAACATCCATAAGAAGGAAATCTGACAAGGAAATCTCTCTATGAGCATGTAATCATAAATCTCAGAAAAAAACTGTAGGGCTTGAAACAGACTTGTTCTTAATACTGATTTACATTTTTCTGCATTTCAGTTCTAGCATTAGTTTATCCTGTATTCTCTGGAACCTCACAAATCAATTCTTAACATTACTAACATCATCTGAAAGGCTAGATTCCAAACTTTGAATTACTTTTTGCATAATACTACTAGAAATTCAAATAAGCTTTTATGTTTATTTTTAAATGCTTAAATAAAATAATTTATTTTGTGATGCAAACGACTGTTGCCAAGATACAGTTGTATACCACTTATCATTGGAAAATGTTCACTACTAGCCGTGGTCCATACCCAGAGTGACTTTTATTCTCACAGACTCACATTACATGGGATAGCCAAAATAAAGATCTAATTTCCTGTATTGCAGTATGCCAAAAAAAAACAAAACAAAACAAACCCCCCAAAAACAGTTAGGAGCCACAGAAGTCTTATGTCAGGAAAAAAGTCTGGAACAGCTATTGTACTTGCCTACTTGTGCTGTCAAAAGCTTCCTTCATTATTTTAAAGCCTTCAGGGCTTTCAAGCCAGACTTTCAGTTCTGCAGCCTGGCAAGCACTGGGCAGCCTTACAACAGGTCCTCGAGTCATCCCATCTGCCAGAATGCGGCTACGTGCTCCTCCACCAAGCTAAAAATCAAAGCAGAAGGGAAACAGAGATTACTGACAGTGAATTTTAGTTTTTAGGAAGCCAGAAACATGCCTTATATCACCCCAAATATATTTTATAATACATGAAGTTTTCAAGCTGGTCAAGCGATACTTACACATATTGCTCTGCACCCTCTGTTAGTGCTTGCTACAAGACAACCTTCTGTTGTTGCCATTGGCACCTGAAACTCTTTGTTATCCAGAAACAGTGGTCCTGCTACGCCTACAGGAATAGGCATATATCCAATCACATTTTCACAGCAAGCTCCCATTACCTTACAAAAAGAATACAAAAGGTATCACTAAGATTTCACTACAGTGGTATGGTGCAGCATATTACATGCAATGCCTGTGGTATCTTAGCAAAAACCCACAACCCTATCCATAAAGCAACCAATTCCCACCTCAAAAACTGAATAGCACAGCTATCAACAGCTAATACTGTTCAAGTCTAGTACTTCATGGATGTGTTGAATTTTACTAAGTTTTAAACACTACTGAAAGACTCTCATACTGTTAAATGACTTTTAAACACACTCCCATTTTAACTTGAGCCCCAGGCAGTATTACCGTTAGCTGAACTCAGGCTCAGTATTAGTGGAATTCTGCATTTCTGAGATAAGGCAGCTGCACGCTTCAGTCAGATATACTTTTGAGTAAGTTTCTGAGTGAGGAAAACTCACCCACCACCTCCCTTGGTTTAAAAAAATGAAGAACAGTAAAAGGTAGTGCCTTACGTATGCCTTCTTTATCTTCTATATCAGTTTTCACCAAGCTCATTTTTTAATTTATGTACATAGAACCATAGAATAGTTAGGGTTGGAAAGGACCTTAAGATCATCAAGTTCCAACCGCCCCTGCCATGGGCAGGGACACCTCACAATAAACCATCTCACCCAAGGCTCTGTCCAACCTGGCCTTGAACACTGCCAGTGATGGAGCATACACAACTTCCCTGGGCAACTCATTTCAGTCCCTCACCACCCTTACAGTAAAGAACTTCCTCCTTAAACCCAGTCTAAACTTCCCCTGTTTAAGTTCTAACCCATTATCCCTTGTCCTGTCACTATAGTCCCTCATGAAGAGTCCATCCCCAGCATCTCTATAGGCCCCCTTCAGATACTGGAAGGCTGCTATGAGGTCTCCATGCAGCCTTCTCTTCTCCAGGCTGAACAGCCCCAACTTTCTCAGCCTGTCTTCACATGGGAGGTGCTCCAGTCCCCTGATCATCCTTGTGGACCTCCTCTGGACTTGTTTCAACAGTTCCATGTCCTTTTTATGTTGAGGACACCAGAATTGCACACAATACTCCAAGTGAGGTCTCACGAGAGCAGAATAAAGGGGCAGAATCACCTCCTTTGACCTGCTGGTCACACTCCTTCTGATGCAGCCAAGCATCTATCTCATCTATTTGGAAAGTGGTTTTAGAGTGAATTTTGCTTGTCTGCCTTTTACTTACCAAAGAATAATTATAATTCCTATACGGAAGATACTGCAAAGATGAAGGTTCGGGGAGTTTCTTAGATAACATCTGTCTACGAATGGACACACCTCGCTCCTGAGTTTCCATCAGGGTTTCCAGTTTGTATGCAGGAATATGCTTAGCATTAACTAAACTGATGACCTCAGCATCAGTAAGGAATTTTGCTCCTTTCTGGAAACATGAAGGGAGAAAGAAAGAACAGTTTCCTTTGGTAAAAATCCTTTTAGGTATTTCCAAATGAAAACAAGTAACAAGTTTACATTGATGTTATCAGAGTACATCTAAAAGAACCAATTGCCAATATCAGGTTTTACAGTAGGGCAGGGTATGATCAAGAACTTTTTACCCAGTCACCCACTTGCACATGTAAATGATGAAGCTTCAATGACTTGGTACATCATGAATGATGAACCTGCTCTCTGAACTACCCTGCCCTAACTGGCTGGAGGAGAAGTGTCTTATGAAAGCGTTTTGTATTGTTGCAATACCTCACCTGAGTTATTAAAAACCCACAACCTTTATTTTTCCATACCTCTGCATTTCCAAGTATACTAACACATTCCTCAATAGAACGGGGTTCTTTTGGTAACTCTATTTCTTCCTCTTTTCCATGAAGACATGAAGATGTTTCCACAGGATTGCAACTGCCAACTACAAATGTAGCCTTGTTTGATGACTCTGCTAATACAGGTTTTATGACTTCAGCTGCAAAAAGACAAAATGAACTTTGGTTCACAAAATTCTTAAGTTTTGCTTCCAAATACAACACATAAACACAGATTTCAGTATTTGTTTCAATTACTCAGGAATAGGTTCAGACTTTAAAATGCTAAAAATTACCGTTTCCTTTTTTGGGAACTAAAGCTTCTTCTAATGTGTTAGATTTCTGATTGTTTTTCAGAAGTCCAGATTGTTGCTTCCTGCAACAATTCTCTGGGACCTTTTTCTGGACCATAACTGGAGATGTTATGGGATTCTTCAGCGAGAGTGTGGATTCAGTCTCTGCTTGCTCAAAGAAGATGTATTTGACAGCAAGGAGCAGGGCTAATCCAAGCGTGATTACTTGTTCAATATTCATACTGGCCATTCTGAAACAGACAAAAAATACAAAGACAAACAAAAAGTAAATACATGGTACATACAATTTGTAGTTTATAAACAGCATTCTGACATCCCTTTGCTTTAGAAAGGGCAAGAGTTTCATCATAATTTATACTGTTACAGGAATCCTAGTGAAAAGGCATCTTCTACCAGGACATTCAAATACGCAAGGTTAGGGCAGACAAATCATTCTGTGCATCATTAACAACCTCAGAATTTTAAGATGTCATTAAACAGTTACTAAGTCTTAGCTAAAAAGCAATTCCAATAACAGAAAGGACTGTAAGATACTCACTAACAGCCTTTCTCCCAATGATAAAGTAGAGTTTCAATCATCATCCTCTACCAAGAATGACCACTTATGATCCAAGCTGAACTGCTACGAGGTCAGACAATTCTGAACTTTCAGAAGTAAGACAGAACCACCAGTGCTGCTAACTGCAGCTGAGCTGAAGGAAAAGCAGTGTAACACAGCTTCTGTGCTTTTTCCACTTGTGTAGAAAAGCTCCACATAAACTATTACCCTAGTGCAGTCACAAAATTTATTTTCCAGTGTGCTCTGAAAGGTGTCAGTGCTAGTGGGAAAAGGCAGCATTTTGATGCATACAGGACAACTGGCTCCTGATCATTCCTTGATTAATCCCAGGAGATTGGACAAACAACATAATATTGAAATATTTCTTACGAAATGTCACTTACGGTTCCAAGAAATCCTGGATCTTAGTTTACAAGTGTAAAGTACTTGTAAAGTAAGTTTATAAAGCTTAGCAGCTGGAGAATACAGCTTAATGAAGGAAACAGAGCTCTTCTGAGAAGTCACCTACCGAGAAAGGTAGAACTGCCATAATGAAACATTAGGTTCAATTCTCTTTGGTGCATTCTCATCCAATTCCACTGAATCTTCTACAGTACTGTTTTGAGCAGCTGGTTCTGCTATCCAGCGACTGTGCGCATGAACAAGAACCAAACCCAGCGACTGTAGTAAAAACATAAAACAAGTATTAATTTTTCAAGAGTAACTAGGTATCTGACACACTAAGATTAAACATTCTCCAGTTTTTGTTCAGTTGGTTTTGTGGGAGGGTTTTCTGTGTGTTTTCCATTCCTCAAAAGTCTAAAGCTAAAGGCTGATTTTCCACACCTCTCATCCAACACCCATTCTGACCTATCACAGTAACACTCAGCTTTGAACCTGTCCCTCCACATCCTTTCAGTTGCTCAACAAGCAAGGGAAGCTGAGGGTACTGTAGAGGTTAGAATCACAGAACCATTTGGGTTGTAAGGAACCTCTGGAGATCCATCTAGTCCAACCCCTCTGCCAAGGCAGGGCCACCTACAGCAGGTTACACAGGAATGTATCCAGGTAGGTTTTGAATGTCTAGACTCCACAACCCCTCCAGGCAGTCTGTTTCAGTGCTCTGCCACCCTCAGTGTAATAAGGAGGGAATTAGTACACATGAAATGTGTACACAGAGATGGCATATGCAGGAAGACTTTAGGTGTACATACAGGGGGTGTTATTAAATTACCATGGTAAACTAGACTAATGGGATGCAGAAGACAAGTCTACAGAAAGCAAAAGCTTGATTCCTTGCACTAAGACACCTTACTGACTGTGTAACCACAGGTGAAAAAGAGCCACAAACCATAATCATTTTGACCCTCTGTGTTACAGGATTTGGTTTATTTTCTTCTTCTTCCAGAACACGAGCAAAATGGCTAAGCTGCCATATAGGACGCCCTTCACGACTCTCTCTCGAAAGCTGCAAAAATAACAAAATTTAAAATAGGTCATATTTAGCACATACTAGAAGAACCAGCAAGCAAGCTTTGACATTGTTTTTATTTGATCATTAACAAATTATAAACAAGGAGTTAACCTACAGTCTACTGTTCAGCCTATGTTAGGCTGTAAATTAAGAAAAACCCTGCACAACCAATAGTTTACGATATAATTAATTTACTCTGCTTTATGTCAAAATTCACCACTGAGTGTAACTCATTTACAGTGGCATTAACAAGTTACCATTATCAGCTGGGCCACCATAACTCTTTTTGTGCATTCCCTGTTTGCTCTGAAAAGATAACCATGCTGGTGTGTGATTTCATGGAGAAATGTAAAGCCTACAGGAAGCAGAAGGTCTTGAATATTAAGCTCAATCTTGTCTTGACACTGGTCCTACCTCCAATACCAAGGACACGCAAGCTGGAAAGAAGGTCATGAAGACAAAGTAGTTGGCAAGGACAGACATACAGCCAAAGCAGCACATAATTTCAAGTTGTCGTACACCTACATTAAAAAAAAAAAAAGACATTTCTTACATTTGTATATGCAACAAGCTTTCTGTATACTCCAAGTGTTGCAGAAGTACGGAAGAAACCATTAAACTGACACTGCAAATTACAGGGTGAGCTACCTAGATTCATGAAAAACGAGCATATTAAGCCTTAGCATTGTGCATTAGCTTATGTATTTATGTATGCACTGTATGTATTTATGGTTTAGTATTTACAGAAAACTTTTAAAGTCTAAGTACATACAAATAATTACAGTTCAAGATTTTAAAGCTTCACATTGAAAGCTTGAAACTCCTCAGTTATCTAAGCAAAGAACAGTTAGCTGTCATTATGTATCAAAATCCCTTCTGAAGGTAGTAAAAAACACTTTATACCTCACCTACTCTTCAAAAGTGTGGTATTCAGAAAAGTCAGGCTGCATTATAGAACTTCCTTAGTAAAGATGAAAGAGCTAACAGTATAAATAATAATAATAATAATTTAAAAAAAAACAAAAACAAAAAACCAACTATATGCTACACCAAAAAAAGGGGTTTTTTTCCTAGATGTAAGCAGGACAGCAGCTTATTAAGACACAATACCCTTAAAAGGTCCAAACCAGTTTGAAAAGCAAGTGCACTGAAAGATGCCTTTAAGATGTGCGAGAGAGCTTAAACACCCACCTTACCCTCAAGAAAAATCCCCAAGCAACAGACAAAAAAAACCAAAATTGTAAACAAAAACCTTCTTTAGTCATAACTATGGCACTTTGATTGATTTTACAAAGAAATCAGTTATTTACACTTGCAAATCCTTCATTTATTACATTTAACTGTTCTCTTTTTAAGGAAATTCAACTGCTACTGCTCACAGAACTCATGAAGATCAGAAGATTGGAAGGGAAAAAAAACAAAACCAAACCCAACCGCTTAAAAGATTGGTTATTTAGTTTTGCCTGGTGTAATTTTTAGAAATGCTCCATTTTTGCAAAAACATGAAATAGGTGTACATGTGCTGGAAGTGTAACTCGTTTTTAAGAATGCCCAAGAGAAAACATCAGCAAGTCTTTTAAGATGTTACAGGAAGCCTCAATTTCATAAAAGCAACTGCAGAGAAGTCCATTCCTATGGTTATCTGTATTTCAAACTTCTCTTCAGCATATTATCCATAAGTGCACGAAACTAGTAATATAGGCTAACCAGGAAGACAAAAAAATAGATTAAATTACTCCACCCCGGTGGGTAACAACCATCATTTGAAACTCTTAATATCCCAGGCCTAGACTGAGATATTGTATCACCCTTAGATTGTATCACTCACCTGACATAGTACCAACACCGATCACAAGACACTCCACAAGTGCATCCAGTGTAAATGTAGGGCCTAAAATTGCCATTCCACGTGAAATATTTTCTCTAACTTCGTCCTAAAAAGATAATTTTCTGTACATTAATGTAAATACAGAAATCAAATTAAGGGAGTACACATAATTAGTACCTGATTAGTAAATTGAGTAGTATCATGGTGATTTAAGTCCTTACAAAACATATACTGGGAACGAACTATGAGAGCATATATTCTTTAACTGCTTTATTTCCTGTAAGTTTGACAGTCTTTATTTATATGAAATGATTTAATTTTTATTAATTTCTCTACCTTTGGTTCACCACTATTCTAAGCTCCTAAAACACTAATGGGCACAGACTTTAATTACAGGACTTCTACACTTTAAGACATAAAAGCCACTTGTGTCATGGTATTTCAAAAGTTCTTGCAACCGCTGCTGCCTATGGTTGTATACCCTAACTTTTATTATTCCATTATTTAACTCTATAGACTTAGCTGACAGGAAGAAGACATAAAAGACTCTAAGTCTTTCCACTGGGGGCAAAGGTATTTTCTCCAGAAGCCAAGCATGGCAAACTCTAGGGGGTCTGTTGCAGCTATTTCATTAGCAGAATCATAGAACGGTTTGCATCTAGCTCCACCCTATCCCCCGCAATGGGATTATGTACCTGTTTGAACATTAAATTCAAGAGCTCCATTGCAAAATAAAAAACCAACCCCAAATCCAGAAAAAACCCAACCAACCAACCAGAAAAAAAAAACAAACAACCCCCCTAACCTGTGAGTTGGAACTGAGTGCAAATTTAGCTAATGCACTTGCTCTTGACAGATCAATCAGAAGCAGGAAGAAGGGTAAAGCTTCACTGAAAAAAGGGAGGCATATGTTAAAATTCAAGGTCTATTGTAGAGGAACAAAAATTCAAGCAAGAAATCAGGAAAAACAATTCATTACTTACTTCAGACCTGTCAGCTCTTTATCCAAGAAGTGAATTACCACTGTACTAAAAACAAAACTTGAGAATATTGTAAAGAGGCCAGCAATACCTTAAAAAAAAAAAAGCAAAAAAAGAGAGAATTGAAAGATTTTGTTTTATATATAAGGAGGGAAATAGAAAATCTATACCTTTAGATCAGTCCTGAAACAAGGAAATGACAATTCTCATCTCTCAGACTGCAGTAATAGCAGGTAAGATACAAACTGAAGTGGGTGCTATTTTTATGCAGACATTTAAATCTAAAATTTGTATTGTATTCAAAGTAAGACTCTAAGAAATAAAAGCCACAATCCTTTTCATTATCAGCAAAACTGAAAACTGGCTTATAAACAGCTCTATATTTTAAGTGTTTCACACAATAACTATTTCAAGAATTAAATTTCCATTGTTCATATAACTACACAAAAATCCTTTAAAAAACTGCACTTTGATACACGCCAAAAATGTATTCTGCTATCAAGCAAGTAACTGAAATAACCCCCTTGTGTATGTAAGTATTTGAACTTGAACATCTGTTACCAGTTTACACCCAAACCCAATTAAAATGCATACAGCAAATACAAAATTCACATACAGTACCCAAAATATATTTTGATCCAAGCTGCCTTAGGTTCTGGAACTGGAAATATATGTAAAGGATTGCTATACAGCGCGTGATTGTCAGGATGATGATGTCACTGCTCAGAACATCCTGTTTGAAATACAAAGCAATTCTGTTAGCTCATAAAGTAGTAACTCCTTGAGTTATAAAAAAAATCCATTGTGAACCTGCACTAAAAAGGAAGTTTCACTGCTGGTATCACTGCTTGTCAGTCTTAAAAATTAAAATATTGCAAACAATATAAATCCTTGCGCAAGAGATACTGTGCAACTGGAAGTTAGATTTAATGAAAACCACCTGTAACACATCACTGCTCACATACAGCTTTAATATCCATAATAGGAAAAGAAGGCAATGAAGAAATTTCTGCATAGCTACATTCCTCCTAATATATCACTATCTGATGTTGTTCTACTGAAACCCCTGGATCTACTGATTGACAGTAAGTACTATAACGTGAATTTAAATCTTTACTTCTTCAAGTTTGGGGCACTCATAATTCCAGCCGCAGATCTTATCATTCCCCGTGAACATCTTCATGGACATCATACAGATGGTGAGAGTCACAGTCCCCACAATGACTTCCCATGGATGGGAGGCCACAAAAAGCCCGTGCATGCGAAAGAGTCTGGACAACATTTTGAAGAGGCTCCTTCTACCCTTAGCAAACCTGCAACAAAAGAGTATTTCATATAAGCAAGTATGGGATTCATGGAAAAAATACAGAGATCTGAAAACTTCTGAAAGTCATCCCTAAGAGCCGAGCCAAACCAAACCAAAACCAAACCTAAATGAACACTCTCCTCCCCCCCACAAATACCCGCAAAACCAGTTTATTAACAGATGAGAAAGAATCTCTACCTTTCAACCTTTCATGTAAAACACATTTATATATAAACCTCTGAAATACAAGATGATCTGCTCCTGCCTTCTCAGTATCTTTTTTTTTTTAATACACATCTACCTTGTTTCTTCAAGGTCCTGCTGATGTCTCTACCACTCACAACATCTCTGTCATACAATTTTGATTCACTTTGGCTCAAACTTCTTGGTTTTACCACCTACATAAGCATTTACTAAATCCTCTTTTTTCCACTCACTCTTCCTATCAAAAATACTAACTTCATTTTAACTACATAAAATTACCAACTAACCACTGTTGGTAATGATCAACTTCAATAGCAGGAATTGTAATTTTATCTCTCTGTGTCTTCTCTATTTTCTGCTCAATACTCTGCAGTGATTCAAGTTAACCACATTCAAAATGGTTCCTTCTTCACCTCAAGCCCCAGTCCTTCTCATATACAGTATTCTGTGACACAGCTCTTTTACCCATAACTAATTCCCAGGTTACTGCTCCATTTCAACATCCCCTTTCAACAGGTAACAAACATTCAACAGTAATTCTCATACCTCTTTCACATAACTGAGAATGAGGATGGTACAACCTTCAGTTACAAAAACTGCATCCTGGTCAATTTGCTCTGTGATGCGCCTTTAGACAAGTTCATCAAAAATGTTTCCTTATGGTTTTTAACACAGGAACAAAATGCCAAAGAATTCTCTCAAATACGTTAGTACTAGGACTTTTCTCATCACACACAATCAACAGCTTATAAAACTCTGTGATGAAAAATAATTATGTAACTATATAATGAAGTTCAAAAGATGCTTGAATAGTAGCCTGGCTAGCAGAAACAATCTGTAATTCACTATTTACATGTACAAACCTAGCACTGATTTCCAATGAGATTTCCATACAGGAATGAGGGCTCGACACACTGACATTTCAAAGCGGATTAAAAATCCTCATCATGCTGCCTTAAAAGTAACAATCCCTCCATCAGGCTTCTGGGAATGGAGTCTTCTTTTTTTTTTTTTGCTTGGACATAAAAAATGAAGTTGTCGTTCAATGGATAAAATAACAGAGGGCAAATCTATCTGCTTAGTGTTTCTGAAGATACCAGAATCATACTGGTTTCCTACTGATCCCAATCTCAATCATGGGAGCACTAACAGCACAGGCCTATTTTTCTCTAACCTCCACAGTGACGGCATAGCAGGACTTTTTAGTTCATGGAACCATTCACTGAGGACTGCTTTCATTGTAAATAGATTTTTTTCCTGACAGAAAGCTTTTATTAAAAAACAAACACAGCATAACCACTCCTTTCAAAGACAACATCATAATTTGTTTTTCCCTGTGCAATATAATCTATGTATGGTTTTGTAAATTTATGTTCTTGCAAAGCTATTCCGAAGTGGCATTGTAGATTTTCTTCAGCAGAACGCAAGTTATCTTTTAATAAGGAAAACTAAAATAAGACATAGCCAGAGGAACATATCTTAGTACCACAGATTTTGAAGCAATGCCAAGAGTAAGAAAGGCATTAGCAATGGCCAATGAAAATACAAATACTTCTGAAGAGCACAGTGTTTCAGGACAAACAGAACTGGTACTTACTACATGACTATATAACACAGTGCCCTACCATTCCTAAAGCTACAACTCTTAAACTCTAACAGTTGGAATTACTACCTTGTCAATGACCAAGTTCTTAGTAGAGCTACAAAGATTTTAAAGTCTTTCTTCAGCTATTATCTTCTACATTTCTAAGCAAAACCAGTAAGTGTGAAATGGCTTTGCATAAATCAATTAGGAAAAGCTGCATTAATCTGATTATGAAAATAATTGCTCATAATACCTATCACTAGGTAACCTTTTATTATTAACTGCTGCTACAAAATATGGGATGCCTCACTGCTGATCTTGGGGTTTAGCGAGTGTCAGTAAACCTCAACCTAGAAAGATTCTTTAAAGCTTTCATGTTTATTTAACCTGCCTGAAGTGCATGGGGTTTTTTACTATACGTTCTAGAAAATACCGATCGAGATTTCATACATTGATCCTGCATTACTGAGAGCTGCAAAATGATCAGCTTATATCTCTAATTCTGTTTAAAATATTTCTATAGTTACACAGACTCATAGCTTGACATTAGCAAGACAATGTTAAATATCAACTTTAACATTAATATAATTTTGTTAAATTTCAAAAGGTGATTCAAAAGGTATGCTTCATAAATCCCTATCCACACACACGGGGAGGACGGGGCGGGGGGGGCCCCCAACGAATGTAACTAGGTATCTTTAAGGTCCTTTCGAATGCAAATAATGCTATGATTCCACAATTTCCTATTTGGCTTTGTTTTCAACCAAAAATTTCCAAGAGACTATAAAGCAAAGCAATCCATTCTGAGAATCAAAACAAAATGGAAGCAAAAAACAACTGCAACTTCTTTAAAAGGTACAAAAACGTAGCCAGAACTTAAAATGCAAATTAGACTGGCTGTATATTTACATGAATAATTTACATAATTTATCTGCCACGTAACTGAATGAAATACCTTCGGTCTGACACACAGTTCTCCCTAACCTCAGAGCAACCATCTGCAACATCTATTAGATCAGCACAAATCTCCCATCTCTCGCTGGCTGATTCAGCAACAGCTACGGCGTTATAAAGGTAGCGAGTGGCAAAAACAGCTGAACGAAAGCCTGCGCAGAGCTCACCTGCACAGCACATGACACCTCACAGACGCAGCGGCTTTTTTTCAGTGAGGGCAATCACCCTTCCGCACGCCCACCACCTGCCCCCCTCTAGCCCCGTGCCGAAGCACAGCTCTGCACTGCGACCGAGGCTCGGTCTGCACGTAAAACGACTTGGTTTTCCCTGCGGCCGCGGAGGCTCCGCGCAACAGCAGCGCTGCGGCAGCCGGTGGCGCGGGAAGCCTTCCGGGGCCCACGCCGCGGGGCCGCACCCTCCGACGTCAAGGAGGCATCGCAACAGCGGCTCTGGCCTCCCTCGCCCGCCACCCGGAGCTGTGACACTGGATGGCCACCGCTCCGGTGTGACACCGGTGACGGCAGCGCCCTGCCCCGTGGTTATCCAGACGGCTGATCCCCAAGTGGCCACCCGGAACCGCGGCCCGTCCCCAGACCACGAGGACCCCTTCCGCTGCCCCGCACCGCGCCTGACCGAAACGCGGCCCTCCTGCCACCCCTGCCGCTGCTCGCTGATCGCTAATCGCTGCTCGCTGCTCACCGCCCCGGCGCCGGCGCCACACCACCGCACCCAGAAACACTGCCCGAGCTTCCCTCACGCCGCGGACTGAGCCTGCTGCTCCTCCCCGAGCAAGGACACCCGGGGCGCGGTACGCCAGCCGCCGCCATCGCCCGATCGCGCAGCCAATGGCGTGCGCCCGGTACGCCCACCCCGTGCCGCGTCACTCCCTGCGTCGCCGGGGCAACGGCCAGGCGAACGCCGCACAGCTCGAGACTCGATCAGGAGTGGGGAACACGCCATCTCGCCACGGGCTGCCCGCCAATGGGCCGCCGCGCTGCCCGCTCCGTGAGCCCTGATTGGGCGGCAGGAGGCGACTCGTTTACATATGGCGATCGACCGACGGCCTTGGCCCAACCCACCCTTCCTCCGGTGCCGCCCGTGGGAGCCCGGCGCGCTGGGCCGCGGTGACGTCCCGCTTGTGGGGAGCGGCGGTGCCCGGCATTCAGAGGAAGACTCCACCTATGCCCGCTGGTCGCTGGCTGCCCAAGGGGCAATACCGGGTTTGGCTCACGAAGTACAGAAGGCCCCCCCCCCCTTACTCTCTTAGTGCACCTAGTTAGGTGTAACGCGCCCTCGGTAACAGCACTACGTTGCTCCCATTCTGCCCGTCCTCTTTGTGCTGCTGTGTCTGAGCTTGCAGCTTAATGTGTTCAAATACAACCCAAAATACAATCCACAATGATTCTGCTGTGGGTGATATACAGCCCAGAGTCTACAAACCCACTTTTTACATGAGCTGTTTCATTAGAAGTATTTTTGGTAGCTTCAGCATTAATGGGATCCTCAAAAAATCTCACATGCCAATGGAAAGGTTTCCTGGGAACTCCACCCAAAGTAGCTGCTGTCAGCTGTCTTTCAATGCATAAATATACTTTTCGTTCTCATCTTCAATGTGACACCTACAAATCCTACTAACTTCCCAGTGTCCATTGTCCCTGCCAGCTTCTCTCTTAACACTCATGTTTTCTTGAGTTCCTCACCTGTATTACCTGAAAAGAGTGAAGTATGATCAGTGATATCTCTGGAGTCATTTGATAATACGCACAGTAATTGCTATAATGGCATGTGGATATGAGTAACTCCAAGCAAAACAGCAACTTGTACACAGCTGCAATAATTACAAGCAATTGATACAAAGTTTAAATATCCTTCAGCATCTTGTGCTGTTTCCCCCACTTTTCCCATAGCAGTAGGTGATGAATATGATTTGGCAAGTACCAAAAGGCCAATTTTATCATCAAGTTCACCAGGAGCAGGAGTCACTATGATGATTTGAAATTTGCACAATTAAACCACATTTTCTACCACCAAACTTTTATGCCTGCAGCTCTTGCAGTGGCCTGTCCACAGCTGGGCTCCACATGGATCCTGGGCGCAGCTGCAGAAGGCAGAGCTGGGGCAGAATCTGCTTGAGGATAAACATTGCTGTGGTTAACAGGTGATTGCCGGGTTATGTATAAGAACGCTACTGCGAATACTGTGACAGTACTGGCAAGATGTAATTTGGTTCTCTCAGATATGTTCCTACTCTTTAACCCAAATCACAGCATCAGCTAGGTTGGAAAAGACCTTTAAGACCTTCAAGCCCAACCACTGCCCACTCACGCTGCTCAGGACAGCAGATGAAGTTAGCTGCTTAAAGTGTGGCCATGGAAGTACAAAAATTAGGAAAAGAGAGCAATTTTCGATGACGTGTATGAGAATGTTGAGCACTTTGTGGCTTTGCTGAAAGATGTGTACAACAGGCCCTGGATCAGAGGCCCAACGCTAGCACGGAGGTGCAAACCCCGCCAAAGGGCTGCCCCAAGCAGTCCAAGGCTGGTCCTGCTGAAGGAGACTCAGAACCAACTCTCATCAGGGAGACGTGCTTTTATCTCCCGCCGCCAGCCCCTCTGCTCCTGCCAGCGCAGTAGGCACCGCTGGTTGCGGCCAGGATCTCCCCTCCAGCTCTGCCTCTCCCGACCCGCGCGCGGTTGGCGGGCTGCAACGCGGGGCTCACGCTGCACAAGATGGAAGCCGCGTCCTCCGCTGAGGGGAGCCGCGCGGCACGCAGGGGCCAGAGACGGCATCCAGGGAGAGCAGCGGGAAGCAGAGCGGGCATGAGCGGCGGCAGCAGCGAGGGCAGCAGCAGCGAGACCATCGTGGAGGCTTCCGTGCCGGAAAGCGATGTGGATGAAGAGGACTTCCTCGGCAGGAGGAGGTAACGCGGTCTTGCTCTGCGCCGCGAGCACCTGTGAGAGTGTGACGGCAGGTATGGCGGCGGACTGAGGGGCCGCTCCCGCGCCGCCGTGAGGAGAAGCGAACTGCTGACCTCCGGCTCCCCCGCGCCGCGCTTCAGCCTGGCAAGGAGCAGCCAGACGCTTGAACCCTCCCTCCTGAGCCTCACAGGAGGCTCTTCTCGAATATGTTATATATTTTGTTTAGGTTTGGTTTTGGTTTGTTTTTTTTTTTTCCTCTGTTTTTTATGCCCCTAGTCACCGCAGTTCTCAGCTCTGCAAATGGCCCTGTGCATTTTCCACAACACATCTTGTGGGTCTCCGAGTTTGTAACCTCCAAACCTCCCAGCTAACATTTTAGTTAGCAGACATGAAATGTGTCAGAACCCAACTTAGAGAAAATAAAAACCACATTACTGAATACGTTTGCTAGTGATGTTAACTTCTCCACAACTTTAACTTGATACCATTTTCATGACATTATCTCTTATATCGTCTTAAGAGTTGAAGTTACCAACTGCCTACACTTCGTGCGTCCTCTTGACCCAGTATTGCTTGGAAATCCGTAAAGCAGTGATGCGCCTCCCTACCGCAGGTTTTCTGTGCAGAGTGTCAGGTGTATCTTCACAGGCTGGGGGTTCTTTACTGTTGGTGTTAGCTTGAGAGATGCACTCAGCCAGTATGCTGTTAGCAGTGTCCCCAGGGGAGGCCAAGATGATGCCCTTGGTTGCCTCAACTCTCCTTGGAGTTTATAGGAGTGAAAAGCAGAGCATGCAACTGTTTAATGGCCTTTTATTTTATTTTGCAAAGATTGCCTTTTCTTAGTGAGGATGTGCATTTAAAAGCAGAAACAAGAATTCATAAAGGTAAGACAGGTTCTTCTTTCAGCCTGTGTTGTTTTTCCAATGAATTGCTGCTGTGGGTGTTGCCCAAGTCCATGTTACTTCAACATAAGCATTACATGGAGTTCATTTTTATGAACTGTACGTGCTCCCTAATTATATCCATGGATTTAGCTCTCATTCTAGAAGAACGTTCAGCACATTTTCAATATATGAAAAATAGGCTTGCTCTTAATTTCTCAATTTTTCATAGGTACTAGTAACTGAGAATATCTGGCTTGGTAAGTGCTTGAATTGTGTGTAGAGATATCCTTTTTATTTGGGTATGTGTATTGTGTTTGAGCAGAATAAAATAAATGGAATCTAAACATAAAAGGTTTATAAATAGAATCTATACATATAATAGTTGTAGTTACTGTAGTTGCACATAGTATTTTTTTTAAAAAAGCTTTAATATTGTTAATATATCCATTCTCTTTAACACAAACAAATTTGGGTAGGAATATGTAAGTACATTATTTTAAGTCTACTATTAATTTTAACATGAATGTGTGCACACTCATTTAAAGTCTTAAAATTCTCCCTAGTAACTTCCTTAGAGCAGGTTGCATAAGCAATCATGTTGTAATTACATAATAGTTTTAGGGGTACCTCCTCAGCATTTTTATGTAATCCATTTGACTTGTGTCCTGTACATTTTATTGCAGCAATACAGAGACTGTAAGTGGCGCAAGGTGTACTTAGTGTTCCTCCAGATTTCTTTTCTTGGATTGTCTTTTTGTCAGTTTGAAGACCTGGGCAGGCTATTGTGGTTTTTTAATCAGCCTGCTCTGGGTTAATATAAGTCTTACATACAGACCATTGAAATCCACTGAAACTTTTCACATCACTGTGATTTCCTGATGCTGAACCTTTCATAGTTGCTCAGTAGTTTTGTCTGAGGAAAGACGCATCGTTCCATTTTGAATTTGTCTGTGGTTATTCACTGGAATTAAAACCTTGCAACATTCAACATGCATGGTTTAAGGCATGTTTATTTGACTCATTGTTCAGTTTTTGGACTGGGGATTTGTCTGAGGGCTGGGTGGGGTTTTTTGGTCTCTGTAAATGTAATAGATTATGATATTTTTAGCATTCTGCCTGTGGCAATTTACATTCAGTAAATTGGAATTAATATTCATTGCTCATATATTTGTGTATACTCCTATAGTAGCAATTGGGTGATGAGACACGTAATAGAGATTAATTTGCTGTATATTTTGTTAATGTCAGCAGCAACAGTTTAGTTTGAAAACCTAGGGGTTTTCTTTTTGTTTTCTTTTTGTTTTCTTTTTTCTTTTTTTTTTTTTTTCATTTCCATAGAGATGTTCTTCCTTTGCATAGTCATTAAAGTATTCCATATGGGACTACAATATTTCTTAGTCAAGTGGATCAGGCAGCTCACCAAAATTACGGTTTTTAGTTTAAAAAAAAAAAATTTAGGAAAGAGTTAATCTCCAACAAAGACTCAGGGAGGGTGCCAGAACACTAACTGAAATAAATTCCTCCTGAGCTGGTTTTATTAATTTCTGACCTCTCCTTTATTGTAGTTTTAAAATCTACTTAATCCACTTAAGTCCATTGCATATCAGAAGCTTTGATGCCTATACCTCAATTACTGAGTTATGTAGAAATTTGTGGAGTTATGGAATGTTATATAGAAATTAAGGCAATCAAAAGTTCCTTTAATTATAATCCCTTCACCACATATGGCACAGTCTCATTCCTACAATTACTGTAATTTTCTTGTTTGTTTGTTTTCCTAGGAATTGTGTCTCCAGAAATATGTTTTATACCGAAATTTTGTGATCACACATATAGTCAGAAGCAACAACAGATAAATCCAGTAAGCATAGATATTATGTGTACCCTGCTACACATACCTAGCTAATAACTGTTAATGAACTCACTGGGGCTCACATTCTTTATGTGCAGAGGAACCTGGTGGTTTGCAGCTGAAATGAATTCTATGTCATGACAGTTGTCACATGTGTAGCACATTCTCTCCACGAATGTATCAGGGTATCTTCCCTGATACTTCGT